CAAATGAATTGTTAAGGCAATGCAAAAGCTAATGCTTCATCTTGCTCTACTACATGCTAACCATAGTTATTGGCAACAATGAAATATATGTTACTTGTGGTCATTCCCATCAACAGCAATACAGCAACACTGATAACAAAAGAGGAACAGGTCTTAGACAACACCTACAATTTCAAACACCATTGACCATGATGGGGTTATAAGGCAAGATATTCAAAACCAGATCAATAAAGCATGCACAACTTTCACAAGACTTAAACAACCCGAACAATACAGCCCCAAAACCAAACTCTAGATCTACCAAAGCCTTGTACAATCAACGCTACTCGACAGGGCAGAATTCTGGTGAACAAGGAAGCAGGATACAATGGGGATGAGTGAATCAATGACCAATATGTGGTATAGTGCAGAGTAAGGTGTAGAAAACATGGCAACCTACACATAATGAAATTTCACAGAGAATTTAATAATTCTTAGAAATTTGTATGGGGCAAACAGACGGAATTACTAAATTCTCAAGCAAAGATGAGACTGAACAATTTTATCACCATGTAGCGCACACACACAACACTACGTTGCTGGGCATCGCAGCTAATTTCTAATTTCTTCTGTTCCATTCTCACACAGTTTATCAGGACTTTTTCATGTTACTCTTTTTAAGGAGCCAATAAAACCATATCATCTGCAAAAAGCAGGGATATAATTCTGAGCAGGGGCGTTTCTAGGATTCAGGGAAAGGGGGGGCGTAGCCCCAAGGGGAGTGGGCACGTAGAGCGCAGCAATTTTTTTTGTGGCCCATTTGGGGCCGCGGATATCCATTGTTTCAGACAGTTCATAGATTGGTTCAATCAGAAAGAGTATGATTTTGCTCTGTAGTTTTGCTTGCATTCAGTATATGATAACACAAGAGACCGAATTTCAGGGTCATAGTGAAATTTGACAACACAAATGAACTTTTCTCAAATAAAGAGAGAGAAATAATTTTCCTGCTTGTAAAGGAAAGACGGATAAACTAGCTTTCATATCCGCGTTACTCCCAAATCCTAATTCTTAAAGGGACCACACACAATGGATGGAGAATGGACCTGACAGTGTCAACTTTTGAGTTATTTACTTGTTTTATTATGAGCAGAAGGGAATAAGATTTTGATCAACATTTACATCTATTTTGTTGTCCGTGTAGTTTTTACATACCAGTGATATTTTATGCTAATTTGGACACTATCACTGAGATAAAGATGAACTAGTTCAGTGTCAAATATACCATTCAATGGAAGAAAAAAAAAAATGCACGCAGCAGCCTCCCCAAGGTCCTAGTGCCCGGAGTTTATATCTTTAAGTATGATGATAGGCTATTGGATTGTAATTTGAAGGGGGAGAAAACATACAAACCAGAACACACGCACATATATAGCATGTTAAAGTTATAAATAACTTGTCCATGTGAGAAATAGTTTAATTCAATGACATCACCAAAACAAATAAAAAATTAAAAAAATAAAAGATTTTTTTTTTTTTTAAAGCCAATAATGCCAAATTATTTGGGGGGGCTGAAGAACATGTTAGGGGGGCTTCCCTGATTCTGAGGTCCCCAAACCGGACACTCTCCTCCCCCCAGCTGTGCCTGAAATCCTTCAGGCGTTCACGTGAAGTTTCTCATTCGGGAACTAATTCCTCCACTCTCAGTTTGAATACTAGGTTGAGCTCTTCACTCCTGTTGTTTAGGACCATGAAGAGCTGTCTCCTGTGAGACACCACGTGCTTTAGGAGAGGAGACTTGCACCCAGAGGACAGTTTCCTAACCTGGGATACTATCTTCCCGTGTCTAGACAGCTCTCTGGTTATTGTCTCGTCTCTAATGGACACAGTGACTTTTACTGCCGGTGTGCTGAGAGGAACAACGGGTACGTAGGTATCAAATACCACGATCCCGTTCTCCACCACCGTGTTGGCCTTATATACTTTATCTAAAAAAATGACCACAGCATTGTTCATCCGCGCAGCGGACTTCACGTCGCTGTGGCCGACCACCTTCCCCACTGACAGGCTGCAGTCCTCCACCGAACACGCGAAATACGGCGCGATCTTCACGTCGTGTTTCCTAGTTAGTTTGTGCAGGTCCATGCTGGCGCTTAGCACGCCGACCAGCACGCGCTGATCAACTGCAAACACTCACAACGAAAGGACCCTAAAACCAGCTAAATGTGCACACAAACACCGTGAACCCTACACACCACAATACACTATCATATACAACATTACCCAGTGAAGAAAAATAGTAGAGAGAGAGAGAGAGAGAGAGAGAGAGAGAGAGAGAGAGAGAGAGAGAGAGAGAGAGAGAGAGAGAGAGAGAGAGAGAGAGA